GAAACTCAACACTTCTCTCTTGGGCCACACAGTGAGACCATTTGTAAAAGAAGAAGTCTGAGAGTGAAGCTCAGTTGTGGAACGCTGGCGTGACTTGTGCCAGTCCCTGGGTTCAGTTCCCAGCCAAGGGGGGGGTGGATGGGGTAGGGGTGGGGCAAGCAGGGATGGGAGATGCAGGGAAGAATCCCTGCGTGGCTTCTGCTTTTCGCTGCCTTCTCCTTCCTGCTTTCAATCCTCTTCAGCAAGTAAAATAACAAAAAGTGGGCCCAGCAGGAAGAGATAGAGGTGGGTGAAAAGATGCTGCTGTCTAGGCTGGAGAGATGGCTCAGTGGTTAAGAGCATTGCCTGCTTTTCCAAAGGTCCTGAGTTCAATTCCCAGCAACCACATGGTGGCTCACAACCATCTGAAATGAGATCTGGTGCCCTCTTCTGGCCTGCAGGGATACACGCAGACAGAATATTGTATACATAATAAATATTAAAAAAAAAAAAAAGATGCTGCTGTCTTATGGCCAGGCCTATAATCTTATCCCTGGGGAGATGGAAGACAGGAGGGTCAGGAGTCCATGTCCTGTCTAAGCACATGCTGAGTTTGAGGCCAACTGGAGAAACAAGAAACCTTAACACACACACACATACACACACACACACACAAACATATACACGTGTGCATGCCAGAAAACAACTAAGGAGCCAAAAAAAAAAAAGAGGCTGAAAAATGACAGATGTGGCTGTGTTTATAAAATATCATGAAATTACAGTTTCCTTGAAAATGACCGACAAGGCTGAAGACCCTGGCATCTACCCCTGGCGTTTCTCTCCCTTCCCTGGCAGTGACTACTGTTGAATATAAGGGGGTTGGGGAAGGAATACCTTCCCTTTCCCAAGCATGAACTGTAGGGTCAAGTGAGTCCCTGTTCTCCATAAGAGAAACGCAGACCTGCTAGGCAGCTTCCTAACAGCAAGGGGCCAGTTTGGGACCAGTTAGAATTCTCTGTTCTTGATTCAGACTAGGAAATATTTTTCCTGCAGTAAGACTGAAAAATGAGGGGGTAGTGAGATGGCTCAGGGGGTAAAAGACAGTTGCCACCAAGCCTGGAAACCTTAGTTCAATCCCAGGGAGCCACACAGTAGGGGAACTGATTTACCCAAGTTATCTTTTGACTGCGTGTACACACGCATGCACGCGCGCACACACACACACACACACAATGTGGCACATGCAAACCCCTTCCACACTCACAAAACAAATTTAAAAAATGCAAAATAAATAAGTAAATAAATAAAGGCTGGAAAGCTGGCTCAGCTGGTAAGAGCATTGTCTGCTTTTCCAGAGGACCTGGGTTCGAGTCCCAGCAGCCACATGGCAGCTCACAACCTCTGTAACTCCGATTCCAATGGATCCAATGCCTTCTTCTAACCCCCAAGGGCACCAGGTATATACATAGTAACACAAACATACATACAGGCAAAACAAAAATAAAAAATTATTTTGCCAGGAGTTGTGGTGCTCGCCTTTAATCCCTGCACTCAGGAGGCAGAAGCAGGCAGATCTATGATGAGTTCAAAGCCAGCCTGGTCTACAGATCTAGTTCTAGGACAGCCAGGGTTACAGAGAGAAACCCTGGTTCGGGAAAATAAGTAAATAAAGTGAAAGTCCACTTCCAAATCATTCCGCAAAAAACAAATTTGCATTTGCCCCAAAACAGGCCAGTGGAGTCAGCTGACACTTTGTCTGTTCTAACCCAGCAGAGGGGGCAAGCATTGTTTCAAAGCAACACCTCAAGCGTAGTAGGATTTGCAGGGGTCTCTTTGGCCTCTGATCTCAGTTCAATCAAATGACCCTACAAGTCACTAGGCAGTCAACCAAGCAGAAACGGGAGGTGGCCTTTAGACCTTAAAGTCTCACTCATCAGCAGTTTCCTGAAACCGTATGTTTTTGTACAACCACCTCTACCTCCGCGTAGAGGAAGCACCCAGAACCAGGAAATGGCAGAAAAGGAACTTTGAACTAAAACATAAATTAAAAATTAGAAGATTCAAAAGCGATATAAAGTAATGCAAGGGAAGAACGGGGGGGGAGGGGGAAAGGTGTTTTTTAAAAAAATATCACGAATTCAGTAACAAATTCGAGAAGGAGGCACCCACCACTGGTCCGCCTTTCTCGGGAACCTACCTGCGCCGAGGCCCAGTAGGAACGACAGCAGCAGCAGCCACAGTTGGACAGGATAGACTCGACACGCCAGCCCCATGGTGAATACAGCGCCGCAGCATCAGCAACAGGCTGAACCCAGCCTGCCAGCGCGTGACGGCGGTAGGTGGGGCCTGGGCGGAGTCAGGGCGGGGCCTAAGTGGGCCCTGAGGCTCCCAGTGTTCGGCGGGCGCGCCCTCTGCCGGTCGGACCTACCCAGGACCTCCCGTCAGGGCTTTCAGGTGGATCTGCCAAGTTAGGTCATCCTTCGCTGTGTTAATGTAACATTTGATTTGGGTTACAAAGTAGGGAAGGATTGAGAAACTACAGCGGGATAACTACCATCCTCCCTGACCTGCCCGTGTTTGTCTTCGCCAACAAAAGGACTAGTATTTCATTTTGTAAGACTTGTTTTTATTACTTTATGTGTGTGCGTGTGTGCAGTTATGCAAAAAAAGGAGTGGGGTTCCCTGAAGCTGGAGTTACTGGTGGCTATGAGAGGCTCAGCATGGACACTGGGAACTGAACTTGGGTCCTCTGGAAAAGCAACAGATGCTCTTAACCATTGAGCCATCTCTTCAGTCCCAGGCCTGGCATTTTTGAAACTCCATTTGGCTCCAATCATATTAAGTGAAATGAAGCACAAACCAGCAGGTCATTTAAGACTACATTCCATTTGCAGAAATACGTTTTTAAAAACATCATTCTGGAGCAATGATTCTGAGATTAAGAGCATTTGCTGTTCTTCCGGAGGACGTGAGTTTGATTCCCAGCACCTACATGGTGGCTCACAACCATCCCTAAATCCACATCTCAGATTCCAGGGGATCTGGCACCTTCTTCCTTAGTCACACATTTTCACGTACAAGTATGCCGGCAAAAAAATCGCATGTATCATGAATATATTAGAAATTCACAAAAATAGATCATATACAACCATTTACCCATAAGTTTATGGTTATATCTTTTGGGGGGGGATTTTGAGGGAGGGTTTCTCTGTAGCTTTAGAGCCTATCCTGGAACTTGCTCTGTAGACCAGGCTGGCCTTGAACTCACAGAGATCTACCTGTCTCTACCTCCTAAGTGCTGGGATTAAAGGCGTGCACTACCACTGCCCGACTAAGTTTTGGTTATATCTTCCTAAAAACAAAAAAAATGTATTTTTGCTCTCTTGATAACATGTGACCAATATCATACATCTGAAAAAAATTAAGCCTCCATTCAAGGCGGAGGCAGATTGTAAATATGATTGATAAAGGTCACGACAGGAAAGTACCAGAGATGAAATATTCTAGAGATCATTGTTTGCAAGGAAACCCACAAAGACCAGAGGGGTATCTGGGGCTCCTCCCTTCCTCTGCGGTTTTCCAGAGGGCTATCTTACTGAACCTTTCCAAATGACATGCTTTTTAACTGGTTGCTTTATTCCAAGCGGCACTTCAAGCTGTTGAGTGTAGGTCACAGGTAACCCGAAAGATGTGTGATGATGTGCCTGCCGTTGGCCATGCCACAGAAGCAGCGAGTTGCAATTGAAGGGCATCCTCTGATGGACCAATCCAGCTTAGGAAAGGCCACAGAACTACAGACCATGGAATGTCTTTTGCTTTTGCTGTGTCTTTACATGTTTGCTGCAGCTCTCTTTCTCCGGTGTCTAGCATGATGTGAGTGGATGTGGGGAGATCTCCGCTTATCTCTTGGAAACATCCCGTTCTACTGGGCATTTTTACCTGTGGATTGTCAAGACGATGACCCCTCCCTAAGCTGAACTGTTTGATTTGATAACAATACTGATAGCTTACACAGAGTCTTGATGAATAAAAATAAATGCGAGATTATGTTTCGCAGCCAGGGTCTGAGTCTCACCTAAGGAGCTGCATGGGTTGTAGCTCAAGTTAATGGCTAACAGTTGAGTCCCTGTAGCTCAACTAGTTTAAATTCTTTCAACCTTAACATTGAGAGATGTGTTCACAGGTCTTGTGATGTGGGAGTGTCATCAATCTGTTGATTTCATTGGCTGAGCAATAAAGAAACTGCTTGGCCCTGATAGGTTAAAGCATTGGTGGGAGGAGTAAACAGAATAGAATTCTGGGCGGAAGAGGAAGTGAGGTCAGACTCTGCTCTGCTCCCGGACAGCAGGAAGGAGGCTAGAATCTTCCCGGTAAGCCGGTAAGCGCACCTTGGGGTGCTTACAAACAATCATTAGAAATGGGCTAGACCAGGTGCGAGAATCAGCCTATAAGGGCTAGAGTTCATGGGCCAAGCAGTTCTTAAATTGTTGAAATATGAGCGGCGGGGCTGCGTCCCCAACACCCCGGCCGCTTGGCTAGCTCATGCCCGAAATAACAACACACAAACTGTATTCATTTAAGAACTGCTTGGCCCATGAACTCAAACCTTACAGGCTAATTCTCGCACCTGGACTAGCCCATTTCTAAGGATGTTTGTAAGCACCCCAAGGTGCGCTTACCGGGAAGATTCTAGCCTCCATCCATCTTTGCGTCTACCCAGGAGAGCTGAGCATGGCGTCTCTCTGGGAGCAGAGCAGAGTCTGACCTCACTTCCTCTTCCGCCCAGAATTCTATTCTGTTTACTCCTCCCATCTATGTTCCAAGCCAGGAGGCCAAGCAGCTGGTTTATTATAACTTAACCAATGAAATCAACAGATTGATATATGACACTCCCACATCATTAAATGAATACAGTTTGTGTGTTGTTATTTCGGGCATGAGCTAGCCAAGCAGCCGGGGTGTTGGGGACGCAGCCCCACCGCTCCTTATTTCAACAGTCTTGGAGTGCATCACAGCTAAAACAAAGCTTTGAAAAATAACAAAATTAGACTAAGATGTTTTAGTTAAGTAACTTTGAGGTGAAAAGCCTAATAACAAAGTTAAAACAAAGGCACATAGCTGATAGCTGAGCTGGTCAGTGGTGGGCATGTCTTTAGTCCCAGTGCTTGAGAGGCAGAAGTAGGTGGATCTCAGTGAGTTCGAGGCCAGCCTGGTCTACAAAGCAAGCTCAAGCTCAGGATAGCCAGGTCTATTACACAGAGAAACCCTGTCAAAAAAAAAAAAAAAAGGTCAGAGAACAAGAACAAAGCAGCCCAATTATTACAATTATTACTGGCTGACGCACTCTCCTTGCTAGGTTTGGATGATGACCAAAGGTGATGATTCATTCCTAATACCCATTTCTGCCTTCAATCTCCTGATACAATAAAACAACCCTATTAGTGAATGGAATGCACCCGAAAGACTTAAAGTAGTGTTGACTGATTCTTTGTCACACGTAAAAGTTTAGGCTTGTGACTCCTTTAGAATTCCTTATAAGACTACTTTTCACTTATATTGATAAAGTAATTGGCCCTTTCTTTGTAACTGCAAATTGCAGCCTGCCAGTAAAAGACCTGACAAGAACTCCTTGCTTACCCGCACAGTTAATCTATAACAAGTTGCTTGGGTATGAATGTATGTGGGTTTTTAGGATAATATGTTTTTCACCTGTAAGACATAAAATGTTTAGTCATGTGAGGGAGAGGGAAAAACATGTTTTTACCTTTCATCATTCACTTGAAAAACGGAATGCAACTGTTTTGATTCTTGTATTGTCTGGATGATTCTGTTGGGGTATAAAATCTGTGGGGGAAAAAACATGAGAGAGAGAGAGAGAAAATAAAGAAGGAAATCATCAAGAGAGTTTGTGAGTGCCTTTTCCCCTAACTCCCCTCAGATGGAAAAGTCACAGCCCTGTGCTGCTGGAGGCTGGCACCCCCAGAGAGTGGCAATGATGGTCTGCTAGATGCACAGCTTGGTTTGGAGCCCTGTTTTCAACTTCAGCATCTAAATTTAAATTGCTGGGGCTGGAGAGGTGGCTCAGTGGTGAAGAGCACTGGCTGCTCTTCTAGAGGTCCTGAGTTCAATTCCCAGCCACTACATGGTGACTCGCAACTGTCTATAATGAGGTCTGATACTCCCTTCTGACCTGCAGGCAGAACACTGTATGTATGATAAATAAATTGCTGTAGATGTGATAACAGGAATGGTAATTTACCTTTAAATGTAGGTACATCCAAATACAGTAAAACTAGTTAAACTAGTAAACTAGGGCACCCGAGATGAATGTGTTCTCTGCGGCCTATCTGCACACAGCAGCTGGAGTGGAACCCAGAGCAAGGTGCTTCTGCCACCCGCCAGCAGTGACAAGGAATCTGCCCTCCTTCTGCCTCATGTGGATGTTCACTCATCTACTCTGTTCAGTCCTGGTTGATGGAGCTTATTTTGCCTTTAGCTTTTTATTATAAAGTTGACAGCCTGGGGGATGCTTCTTAGTGGTAGAGTGCTTGCCCAGTGTGCACAAGGCCCTGTGTTCAATCTCTAGCATTGCAAAACAAGCAACTGTTGTTGCCAAAATCATTGCACAGGAGTCTGTGCACATAGCCTAACACCTATGATTCGAGGTAGGCTAGACGCCTAGAACTGCTAGGTCAAAGAGCACATGCACCGATAATTTAGACAGATGTTGCCAAGTACCGCATGACAGTGTCCTGCAGAATGTCTGGCAGATTCTTCCATGAAGCAGGAACCCTAAAGGACTGTCTCACCTTTAGGCAAGTTCAGCAGTTGTTTTTCCGTGGATCCTGCATGTACAATTCATACAACATAACATCAAGCAGTCCAGGCAAGAGCAGTATCTTGCCCAAATGGCTAGCAAACTCCATTAGGAGCCTCTTTGATGCCCATCTTCCTCTTGAAGTAATAGGTGCTGCCAGGAGCAGATGTGTCTTATTGTCATGAAGAGTCCTGAGTTCTTAAAACATTTTAGATGTTGTAGGGAGGGCTGCTTGTTTGTTTCCTGGCAGCCCAGCAGCTCAGACCAGAAATAACCACACAGAAACTATATTATTTAAAACCCCTGTTTAGTCCATTAGCTCTAACTTCTTATTGGCTAACTCCTACATCTTAATTTAACCAATTTCTAGTAATCTGTGTATTGCCATGTGGCTGTGGCTTACCAGGTAAAGTTCTGGCATTTGTCTCTGGCGGGGCTACATGGCTTCTCCTTGACTCTTATCTTCTTTCTCCAAGCATTCAGCTTAATTTTCCCCGCCTACCCATAGAACCTGTGCAGGCCTAAGACAGTTTATTAACCAATCATATTCACAGCATAGAGAGGGGAATCCCACATCATAAATATAACAAAGTTGACCTTAAATTTGTATCAATAAACCAAGATCCATATCAGTGCAAAATATTCATCTCTATAGCATATCCCCTTTAAATGTAAACAAACATTTATAAACACTATTTGGGGATTTGGGCTCAGTTCTCTCTAAACTGCTTCCTGGTTTTTGTTGGGTGAAGTAATTTTAGGGGTTCATGGAGACCTTTCAGGGGGTCTTGGTCCATCAAAACACATTAGTCTGGAAGGAATTGACAGGTTCTCATCTTCTGTGGAACAAAAGCAGAACTTCTTTTCCAAAGCAACACAGCCTTAGACCCAAATTAAGTCAAGATAACTTTAAAGTATATATGCTGGTTTAGCTTAGCAGTCCATACAATAAAATGTCTCTCTGTACTTAGCTCATTCACAGTAAAAAAATTGAAAGAAAACACAATAATATATATAATCCAGACTCTGTTTATATTCCATCTTTATGTGGCTTATTTTTCTTTACTTCTTTAATCTATGGCTGTCTGTACTTTCTTACTGTCTCTTTAAAGACTTTATTTATTTAAACTATTTGCTTCTTTTATAACTCTCTATACTCTTTTTCCTCTTTATCCCAAGCCTACATACAGTTTTTAAAGACATGGTGTTCAGAGTTTTATTTCTGTCTGAATCTGTCTTTATTGCATTTCCATAATCAGTAATCTGTAATCAAAATCTGTAATTTTGGCCAGGAACACTTTTAAAATGGTAAGCAGCTTGGTTGCAGTGGCCCTGGATGCTGGCCCTGCCTCTCTTAGACTTTCAATATGGCAGTGGTAGCTCACTACCCGCTCTGGGACTGCTGGATAGGAGCCGTCCTCACCACCACAACTCTGGGTGGCACTGTGCAGTATATAAACCCTTTTAATCTGAGTAAAAGCTAAATCTGCCTTACAGTGCACTGTGCAGCCTGGAAGTATTTCTGTGTATGGTGGTGGAATCTGCCATACTCTCTTGCCTGTGTACTCCTAGCAGATCCGATCCCACTGCCTTCCCAGATGGGGAGCGCTGAGCAGCCAGCATTGTCTCAGCTACTTTCCTCCTGACTCCCTGTGGGCACAAAAGCACCCAGACCCAAAGTGAGTGATGGGCATCATCTCCAAACGTTTGAGCGCCACCCTGTAGCTGGAGGCTGTTTATTTGTTTCCCAGTCACTCAGACCCAAAATAAGAACACAGAAACTGTATTAATTTAAACACTGATTGGCCTATAAGCTCACACTTCTTATTGGCTAGCTGTTATATCTTAAATTAACCCATTTCTATTAATCTTTGTATCACCACATGGTTGTGGTCTACCAGTAAGGTTCTGTCCAGTGTCCAGCATCTGACTCCTGCAGTGGCTACATGGCTTCTCTTTGACTCTGCCTACTCTCTCCTCCTCTATCTGCTTGGAATTCCTACCACCTTGCTCTATTCTGCGCTGCAGTAGGCCGAAAGCAGCTTCTTTATCAAACAATGGTATTTACAGCATACAGAGGGGAATCCCACATCAGTGGTGGGATGGGGTCAGGTGAAAAGGTCCAGCCATAGCCTTAAAGAATGTGGATGAAGATACCTCCATCTCCAAGAGTATCAGAGAAATGCTGGATACTCAGTGGTCACGTCCTCAGACTCAGGGAAATGTTTACACCAACCAGAGGAGAAACTTACCCAGTTACTGCTGGTGGATGGGGTGCTGAGTGACTGGTGAGCTGGAAGGTGAGTCTGTTGCCAGTGGACTGGAGATGAGGGCTAGGGTTCCCTTGCATCTCAGATCATGATGGGCAGCACAGGCGCCAGGAGAACCCATTCCACTCATGACATCAAATGTTATCATTGCAGCTCTGATGGAAATGTTTCCTGGCAGTCGGGAGCCAAGGAAAACCGGTGAAGTCATTGTAACTGTTGCAGCTTACAGGTCTGCTCCAAGGAAAAGGGTTTCCTCAATGCAAATGTTAGCAACTCTACTCTGTTGGGGAAGGGTTTCCCCAGGAAAGATGTAACAGCTCTGCTCCTCTAGGGCAAAGTTTCACCAGCAGAGGTGTTATAGTTTTGCTCTGTTCTCGGGAAAGTTGCCACAGCTGGACTCCGCTCCAGTGAAAGTGCCACCACACAACCAACCTCCCAGGAGAGGTGTATTGGGAAGGAAGAATCCAGGAGGGCGGCCGCCACTAGGGTGAGAAGCAGCAGCTAACAGGACAGAATGCAGCGTTTATACAGGGTTTCTTGTGGGGGGGGGGGGCAGGGCGAAGATTTCCAGGGCGGCTTGGGATTGGTGGGGTTTTGTGGCCTGACTCTGGGACAAGCTCAGGGATTGGTGGGATTTCAAGTCCTTGGTCCTGGTCTTGGGGTCAAGTCAGGGTCAGGTTTCTTTTTTTTTGGGGGGGGGGGAGTAATAGAGTTTATTTAGTGGGTTATGAAGGGGGGGAGAGAAAGCTTCCTTGGCCCTTTCCCCCCACACACACCCTTTCCCTTTTCCCTTGTCCCCTTCCCCTTCATCCTCCTCTACCACCCCATCCTTGCCCATTCTCACACAGACCTCCCCTTTTCCTGTTAAAAGTTACACCTGCAACGTCATTTGCTGCTGTTTTTCTGCCTGAGTCAGAGGGCAGTTGTTTTAACTTTTCGTTCCTGCTTAATAAAGTATCTCTCCGTGAAACAGGTGTTTGTATGTGGTTTGTGCTTAATCTGGGGTCTGGGAGGATGCTCCATTGTGTGTTGGGGGGGCTACACGAGTCATTTCACTTTCTCTGTTTAATTATTGTGTTACTAACTGTAGCGAGCTGCATGGAATCACACCTGATGGAGATGTATAATCTACTCCTGAGATGGCTAAGGCCTGACCTATGCTATGATCACGCAATGATCATCAGCTGCTTGCAAGTGCGTGGGCCTATGGGCAGTGCCCACCTGGCAATCCGGGATTGGCAGCCCATGCCTACTTAAGGGCTGGGAGAGGTTTGCCCAGGAGAGAGAGGGGAAGAGAGAGAGAAAGTGAATAAAGTCCTGGAATAAACTGCAGTGAGAAGA